TTAAGAACCTCTAAGCTAAAAGAATGAAAGTAGCTATTGGTTTGAACTGAGCAGTTGTTCAGTACACTTTTGTATTAATTTTCCCTATTAGATTAGAAACTCTTGTATTCATGGAATCACTGAATAAAACCCACTAAATAACAGAATTATGCATTCTTGCTATCATAAATTCTTCTAAGCATGGAATTATATAACTTAGACTTTAGAATCATAAAATCTTCTAATATCAGAGCTAGAAGAGATCAGAGTAGTGATCAAGTCCACACAAAATTTGACTCCACAAAAACTCTGACAGGTAAGAAGTATTAGACACAGTGGCTAAGAGAGGGGACAAGGCTTGTCCAGGGCCATCCAATAACAGTGTGGAGTTGGAATTCAACTGCTAGTTCCTAGCTTCCAAGCTGAATCATCAGGTTAAAGACTCAACCAACAGAGGAAAGCCTTGTAGTCTGCATGGGGCTGAGAAAAGTTGGAACAGGAACATGTGTTGAGTACCTACTAGATGCCAGGCAGCACCAAGGGATTGCAGATATAGAGCATCATTTCACCCTCCCAGTAACTCTGCAAAGTGGGCATTATTTTTATTTTACAAAATGGGAAACAGGCTCGGAATGGAGACATAGCCAGCCCAAGGTTATATAGCTAGGTAAGCATGAGTGACTATGTTCGTTGCTTTATTTCCCTGATGTAGTGAAGAAGGGAAGTCAGAGAACAAAACCCTGGTCATACTTAGCTGGTACTTTCCCAGGGAGAAAAATTGAACCGATAAGACAGATAGGCTCTGGTCTGTGGGAAGGTGGACACTATTGTGGGCCTGGGTAAAATGGAATTATCTGCCTTCCTCAACCTTTCCCTGATTTTACGCTCATCCAGCATCCTCTAGCTGACTAATGTGGCCTCCGTGTGTCCTGATACTGGGAAGGGGGCACCCTGGATGATAGACATAAGAAACCCCTTCATGGGAACTGCATGTTTCCCACTGTGTGAAGCAGCTGGCATTTTGTGGTCAAGGCAAGGCCCTCCACTGTGGTGACTCCACCAATGCCTTTTGCCTCATGAATCCTATCAACACAGCCACTGACCTCTTGCTCTAACAACCCTCCCTACTTTTTTTTTTTTTTTTTACATAAATGCTAGTCCTCATTCACATTCACACATATTTTTTCAATGTCACTTAATAATTTACAATACACACTCATATTATTTCTTTTGACCTCAACACAACTCAGTGTCCTGTCACTTAGGAAACTGAGGCCCAGTGAGATTGTACAACGTGCCAAGGTAGCACATCTATTAAAGATTCAAACCCGGATATGTCTGAATCTAGAGTCTATTCTTTTTGCATAACATATGTTTCCATTGACATCTCTATTCAATTCCCAGAGCAGAGGTTAGACAAGTGTGAAAGTCTAGTACCTTTATAATGTTGAGGAAGCTCACCTCAGAGGTCAGATGACTTGCTGAAGGGTTGGTGCTCTCTGGGATGATGTTGGTGGTGCCATCGGAATCCAGGTCTCATGACTCCCAGTCTAGAGGACTCTTTCTCCCAGACCATATTGCCATTCCCATCAGACCATGTAATTTCTTTTTCTGATTGGGACACGGAGCTGGCAGCCAACACAGATCACAATCTGTCTGCCTGAAGTCTCCCTCTGTTATGAGATGAGCATTTTTCTTTTTTTAATGTATTTCAAACAGGACTCAGGTTAAATCACCCTTGAGTATGTTGAGTTGGCCTGAGAGTACCTGATGCAATTCCAGTTTCCTCTTCTCATCTTCAGGATGACAAAACCAGGCAGGGTGAGCCCCTCAGCACCATGACCTGCTCAGTTTGTAAATAGCCTATAACTCTTCCCAGTCACTAGTTCCTGTTCTCCACTGCCACTCCCATACAAGCAATTACCAAGTCTTCTTAGTTACATATTCTAAATATTCCACAGTCACCACCCCAGTCTTTTCCTGAATTATCTCCCACCTGGATTGTCACAACAGTCTCCTAATCCCTGCCTACAGCCTTGGTCCCTCCAATCTATACCTTCCACTGTAACCAGAGTGGATTTTATCCCTGTTAAAAATCCTTGTAACGCTCTTCACTGCCTTCATGTTCAAGTTCAAACTCCTGACAGTCTCCAGACTTACCTCTTGTGTCTGAAGTCCTTCAGCCAAACTGGACCACTCGCATCCCCTGCCTACATCTGCTTTCCTCTCCTCTAATCTGCAATGTTCTCCCCCAACAACACATCCTAACCTATTGTGGCTACTTTCTACTCAATCTTAAAAACTCAGCTTAGATGTCTTTTCCACTGAGAAGCCTTCCCTGACTCCCAGGACTATGTGTGAGTTCCTTCTTACCCTCATGTAAAGACATTTTTGTCTTTAGTATGTTCACTGCCACATTCCCTGTGCCTAGAACTTTACTAGACTTCTGACGGGCACTCAATATATATTTGCTAAATGAAAATATCTCATAGCCTTCTGGAATTTCTCCACTACAGAATGTATCGTATCATATATACTATAAATGTCTCTTTCTTTGTCTGTCTCCCCAAGTAGACCAAAACTCTGTGAGTAAGAAACGTGCCTTCCTGTTCAGTATTTTACTCTAGGTACCATAATTCCTGGCATGTACTAGTGATGTGCTTACTTTTTTTTTTTTTTTGAGTCAGAGTCTCACTGTGTCACCCAGGATGGAGTATAGAGGGCAGTGGCGCAATCACAACTCACTGCAGCAGCCTCGACTTCCTGGGCTTAGGCGATCCTTCTGCCTCAACCTGCTGAATAGCTGAGACTAGAGCCATGTGCCATCACACCAGGCTAATTTTTTTTTTTTTTTGAAGAGGCAGGGTCTCACCATGTTGTCTAGGCTGGTCTCAAGCTTTTGGGTTCAAGCAGTCCTCCCTCTTTAGCTTCTCAAAGTGCTGGGGTTATAGGGGTGAGCCACTGTGCTTGGTTGTGTTTACTTTTGAAGGATGAGGATTGGGTGTTGAGGGGTGGAAGCCCTGGGCCTGACCTGAGGGGAGGCTAAGAAATACTTTTACTTCTAACATAAAATTATGTCAAAGGTGCTAAGAAAGGACAGAAGAGTCCTTCAAATTGGACTCAAACAAACAACAAACTCAACACAGGTATCCTCTAGGGAACTTGTATCTCATTGATAATAAGGGTTACAGAATTCCCTTTGGTGTACAAACCCAAACTCTAATTCCAGGCAACTCCCTGTGCTTTTACTTCAATATTGTGGAAGAGCTAAAGCAGGCATAGTGTGAAATGAGACCAATGCATGTATAATAGGAGTTTGCAGATTCTGGAGAAGTCATTAGTCACGCTTCATCAAATGCATGGATAGGGTGGGGGGGGGGCAGTGGTGGAGAGAGACCATGTGGTGCATAAAAGATGACCAGAACTTTGGAAACCATGGACCCCTCTGCCTTAGAGCAGAACCTGCTCCCTTGACCTTGCTGAGTCAGGTGGATAATAAAGCTGACTTCAAGATGACTGTCTTGACCTTGGTGACTGTAAAGAGGGGACTCTCAATTTTTATCATAACTTCTCCAGTGTCATATGGGATCTGGAGCACTGCTCTATCACCTGGTCTACCCATTGCATCACCCTGCCTCCCATGTTCCTGGCAAGGTAATTAGAGCCCCCAGAGCCACCAGGTTGCAACTGGCTGACTGGACTAATCCTAAGGCTATCCAAAAGGAGGTTTTTCTGTGCAGAGTATGGTGGAAACGTCATAAACACTCACCAAGGGTTGAAGAAAGGCTAAAAGGAGCATTTCTACTTAAAGGGAGGGGGAATTTGCATACAAATAGAATTCATTTCATGTAAGGCTCCTTTCTCCTCCCTCAACTGTAATTCCTTCTCTGAGAAAACTAAATGTTAAGAAAGGAAAAATACATCAATCAAAAAACAAAAGACTAAAAGAAATCAGAATCTCCCGCAGTCTGTTACAGCTCTGATGCAGTGACCTTGAAATTAAAATCAAAACTTGGGGCCAGGTACAGTGGCTCATGCTTGTAATCCCAGCACTTTGGGAAGCTAAGGCAGGATGATCGCTTGAGCCCAGGAGTTTGAGATCAGCCTGGACAACATAACAGGACCACATCTCCAAAAAAATAAAAAATAAATAAATAAAATAAAAAATCAACACTTGGGAAACTAGAATTACCAAATAATCCCTAAAAATTAAGCAAGCTAGAAAGCAACCTTTAATTTTATCATGACAAACTTGGGAGTTTTCAGAGACACTTTATGAGGAAACTAAGAGGAAAAGCAATTTGTCAAAGAAAATACAAAGGCAAAGAGAAATATGTAACGAGGATGAGGGAGTAAGACAGGGAAGACAGAGGGGAGACACAGAGAGAGAGAGAGAGAGAGAGAGAGAGAGAGAAGGAGGATGGGAAGAAGCGAGGATACAGGAGAGGAAGAGGGGGGAAATAAGAAGCAGGGAGAGAAAAGCACAAGACAGGTGAGGAGGGAGATATAGGAGAGGAGACAAAGAAAGAAAAAATAAGTAGAAGGAAAAATAGTGGATAGAGAGAAGAGAAAGTCAAAAAGTGAGAGCACAGGAGGACAGAAGATGAAAAAGAAAAGATAGTTTTATTTGATCCCGGTTAGAAGGAGTCAAGGTCATCAAATTCTTCCACAGCAACCCTGAGGTCACCCAGCCTGTGGACTCACTTACCTTAGATGGCAGAAGACTCATTGCCTCCTGAGACAGAGGCGAGGGAAGAGAGGTGGAAGAAGCGTAAGACAGGGGCAGGTTGTGGACCCAGGTGGTCTGGGGAAAACTTGGGGTGCAGTAGAGGCAGTTGGGAGTGCTGATGTGAAGGAAAGGGGCAAATTGGACAATCCAAAGATGCCACCAGCAGAACCAACCACCTCCATCTTCACCCCTGAGTCTCAGCCCTTACCTGAACAGGCTACCTAATTCTTGACCAGCCAGACCTGGATACTCTGGCCTGGAATTGTGTTGGCCCAGGACCAGTCAAGGATACAGGCTTCTTCAGTGTAGGGCACAGCTGCCGTGGTGCCCCCGATGATGTAGCTGTAGAAGGAGACCTCCAGCGTATAGCAATAGGAAGTGTGGTCCAGGAGTCCGCCGAGGAAGCGACGGCCAGTTCCTGCTTTCACAGCATCCCTGTTAAAGGATGTGCTGGACTGTGGAAGACAAGCAGAAAGGGAGAGTCAGGACTGGGCACCTGTTGGCTACTGGGTCATGAGCTAATCTTACAACACCTCTGGGTCTCAACTACCTCATCTGAAAAGTGGGATTTTAATCCCGCATCACATGATTATTATGAGGACTGATTAGATAAATAAATAAACATAATTAAATGAAAACATCAAGCAGAATTCTAGAGGCACAGTAACTGCCACTCAAAAAATATCTGTGGAAATTTGAATGGGGACAGATGGAGCACGGAAAAGTAGACAGAGAACAAGAAACAACTATATTTTGATGTCAATCATAAAATTTGGGCAGTTCTTTTAACTTTATAATATTCTTCCCCATGTAGTGTCTCATGTAGGCTTCAAAATAACCCCTTGAAGTATGTGTTGACATTTTGCCTCTCTGTAGATGAGGAAACTGAGGCTCACAGAGGTGAAGCAAGTGTGATACAGCACAACTTTGAATAAGGACTGAATGGCAGACACCCCAGTGGTTCCCTCTCCATAAGGGATAGCTGAACTTGGGTTCAGCATCACCAGAGAGCAGAGAGCATGGCTGCTTCCTCACTAAGATGTCGACAGCACCCATCACAGTGGATAGAGGGAGAAAAGAGCAAGCAGGTCAGAGTTTCAAGCCATCTGTTCAAAAGCATGCTCTGTTACCTACTGATTGTGTGACATCAGTTGAGTCGCCTTATTTGTCTTGGCTTCAGTTTCCTCATCTGTAAAGTGGAGTGATGATCTCTTTTACAGAGTTGTGAGAGCCAGTGCACTTGAAGTTAGAAGGGCATTCTATGCTAACACATGGAAATTTAAGTAAATGAACAGACTGTGGTTTTAATAAGAGAGTGTATATCTTATTCAGCAGGAGATAAGAGAGAAATGAGAAAGAAAGCAGAAACAAAAGAAAGCTATAAAAAGACAGTGAAAAAAATAGAAAAATGTGTGTGTGTATGTGTGTGTGTATGTATGTTGAGGTAAAGGAAAAGATCAGGAAATCATAGAACATCAGATCTGAAAGGACCTTTGAAATCCATTTAGTGAAATTCGACTTTCCTTTTTTAGAGTTGGGCACTGAGGATCAGAGAAAAGACAGCAATTGGACTAAGATAGATGACCTTGACTCTATCCCTGAGCTCTTAAGGAGGCTGTAATAGCAGGAACATCAAGAGACAAGCCCAGAAGTAAGGCTCCTAGACTGTTCCTTTTGTAGTCCCTGGAAACCTCATCCCCATGAAGAAGTCTCTGAAGCCTGTGGCCCAGGCTTCCGGTAAACCTAGACTAAGGAGTTCACAGTCTGCTCTCAAATTGCAGTGGTTTCAAAAAGACAGGGCTGGTCATCCCATGGCGATTCATATAGAAACAAGTATGGTTGCTTCTGTCCCAAAGTTGCAAATGGAAAGCCACCCACTAAATACTGGGTAACCATGCACTAGACATTTCTGAGGCTACACTTTACTCTTGGGTGTAAAAAGGGGAGTGGTTAAATAATCCCCTGGTTCCTTTTCTCATCTGATAGTCAAAGGTTCTGGGATTCAAAGTGCATCTTACTGCCCTGAGAAATTCATCACCACCACTAATGTCCAGGCCTGAAGCAATGGGCAGGTGAGTTTTCAGTTCATCAACTTCAGAAATTGCTATGACTTTTGTAGTCTTCTCCCCCTCTGGCCCCATGAAAATAACAAGCCCCTAAAAATTTAGAACCAAAACAAAGGAATATGTGCAAAAACTCTCTCCCATGTCTCCACACCACATGTCGATCCCCCTCCTTACCTTCTCTCCCCGCCCTTTTCCAATATTGCTTTTGCTATGAGGTATTCCCACCCCACAGCCCCTCCAGTCCTCCTCAGTAGGTGAGGCAGGTAGTAACAGTAACCATCCCTGGAGTCAGTTGAGGTCTTTACTGACTGCAAACTACTTTCATATCTATAACTGCATTTGTCCTTCCAGGAAGTTATGATGTAGGCCGGGCAGAAAAACTGCCACCTAGGAATTGCAAAGAAATTGAGACTGAGAAGGAGTCATAGAGGAAGAAAATAGTGGGTGAATGACCCCCTTCAGCAGATGTGTTGTGCTCATATGAAAAGAATTGGAGTGGGTGAAAGCAGACCCTAAGCCAGGGATGAAAAGAATTGGAAAAGCCAGGGTCTGGCTTGTGGTAGGTGCTCAGTGAGCCACTGTCTTGTTAATGCTGGAGTTAGATCCACCAAAGAAATGCCAGCTCCTTCACCAGACCAAAGTCTACCTTTTAAAGGGTCTCCCTTCCTGAGTGGCAATGAGCGGCTTAAGGGCATGGGAGTGGCCTGTTTACCTCTATCTTCATCACCCATGCAAAACTTGTTGCAGAGTAGGCATAGGCGTGGAGCTTAAAGTAAAATGAGCTGAAGGAGAAGGAAGACAGGGAGGCGGGGATGTGGGGGACTGAGGTTGACTAAGAGAGAGACCCTGACATACATAGGAAAAGTCCTCAGCATTCTGGCAGAGAAGCTTGGGGAAGATAGCCTGCCTCTGGAACCGTTCCTCATCTTCAAAGATGTTGCCGTACATGAAGCCATTCATCATGGTGGAGTGGGCGTGGATGTCAATATAGAACTCCAGACTTGTTTTCTGTTGAGAGAGAGGACAACAAATGAGAAGTCTGGGCTTCAGAGCTTGCCTTAAAGGGACCAGACACACACACACACACACACACACACACACACACACACACATTTCCTTTCAAGCTGGCCCTATCTGTCAGCAGCTTTAGCAGTCACTGGCAATGCAGTTGGAGGGGTTGAGACAGATGAGGATCAGTGTCTCCTTACTTTTAACATCGTCTGCCCTCAGTGTCTGAAAGCATCACCATTAGCATCCCTCTTTAGAGATCTTCTGAAGAAGTGAGGTTTTTGATGGGTTAAGTCATGACGTTACTTACCCAGATCAGTTAACACATTCATGACTAGACAAAAGTGAAATTTATCCCTCTGATTAATGAGAAAAAACTTCTAGGTAACACAATTGTAATTACTTTGGGCCCGCTTGCAGTTTTGCCCCAACTTGGCCATTTCTAGTCAGGGGGCTTGATATAAATCATTCTCCACTTTGAGCCTCAGTGTTCTTATCTAAAAAGTGAATATTTTAATTCCAATATCAGAGAGTTATAGTAGGAATCAAACACAGCATAATAATTACTATCTTGCTTGATGATATAAAGAACAAAATAATAATTGGTATCATTTACTGTATATATAATGCATACCAGACACTATTCCGGGTCATTTACATATGAAGTCTTATTTACCCTTGTTTAATGATGCCACACCTACTCCCCTAGAATATATAAATAGTGCATGAGGGAAAGAAGACTTTGCAATCTGTAAAGATGACGTTGACTAGTCTTTCTCTGCTCTTTACTTACACATATTTAATGCACTTCCTTGCTTGATATAGTATTATTTGTTAATCTTCCCTGAAGGTAGGAAGATTGTCTGTAAAAAGCCAAGCGCCTGTAAGTGAAGGATGCTCAGTAACTATATGTAGAATGATTGAATAAACCATCCCAGAAAGTTACTCCAGATACTGTAATGGACTGCCAACAACTAGGGAATTTTTAAGCCATTAGATATTCAATGTCCCTCAAGTCCCACCTTCTCTTCCTACATATAAACCCAATTTTAATCTGTTAATTCTTTCTGAGAGTAACAGAGGACCCAAATGGGAGAAGACTTGCCCAAGCTCATGGAATAACTAGGACTGCCACCTAGGCCTCCTGCCCCCAGCACGATTAACTTGTCATCATCAATGGCCAAAACTAAAAACAGTCAAGGCAAACCTGGTCTTCTTTCCATCCCCTTTCTAGCATGTAGTCCTGGGAAAGAAGAAAAGTGCACATTTAGACGGATTCTCTCTCCTTGGGACAGTTTCAAACGAAGTTAAAATCAAATGAAAACCATGTTGCTTCTAGAATGTGGGCTCAATGACTGTCATTTCATTTGCCTCAGAGTTGGAGTGAAAAATTATGTCTTGCCGAGCTTCCAGTTCTCTGGATAGCATAAGCTGTCTTTTGAGAGACACAGGATGCACTGCTCTGTGTGATATTAAACTCATCATTTTCAGCTTTGGAGGTGGAATACACAATGATTCAACAGGAGCCCTATAAAAGTCATCTTCGCAATTTTATTTTCTTCAATTGTCTGTCTTTTCCTTTGAGCTTTTGATGAGCTGCAGAGGAAAGGAGGAGGTAGAAAGATGATCTTTAAAATGGGTAAGGAAAAGCTGTAGTTTATATCTCTGGATGTCAGAGCTAGAGAAGGCCTTGGAAACCAGTTTCTCTGACCGTTCTCAGATCAGCCTTGCGTGGGAAAGTTGCTTACTTAAAACTGGCCGGCAAGTTAGTGAAGAAGCAAGAATTAGAGGCTGGCTTCTCTTTTTCTTTTCTCAAACATTTTTAAATTAAAATTTTTTTTCTATTTGTATAAGTTTGTGGGGTACAAGTGTAATTTTGTTACATTTTTTTCCGATAATCATTTTTCAGCGGCTTCCACTGCCCCGGTCCTGACACCTGGCAGTTGATGTGACTTCACTTTAAATAACCAAAAACTGAATTATATTAATTGATTTCTATGCTCCAAAAGCCAAAGGTATGAAACAGTTTATACAAGTAAAAAATCTCCATTTCCCCCTCTCCTCTAATCACACAGTTTTACTCCCCAGAGGCTATTAACGTTATCAGGTTTGCATGTATCCTTCCAGAGATGGTCTGTGAATATACAAGTAAAGGCACCTCACTCTTTCCTCCACACACAAGATAACAAATGGTAGCACCCTAAACACACTATTCATATCTGCTTTTTTTCTCTGAATATATCTTGGAGGTGATTCTTCATCAGTACATAAAGTGTGTTACATCATTCTTTTTTTTTTTTTGAGTTGGAGTCTTACTCTGTCACCCAGACCAGAGTGCGGTGGCCGCTCCCGGCCACTGCAGCCTCGACCTGCTGGGCTCTGGCGATCCTTCCACCTCAGCCTTCCGAATAGCTGGAATTACAGGCATGCGCTACCACGCCCGGCTGATTTTTTTGATTTATTGTAGAGATGAGGTCTCGCTGCCCAGGCGGGTCTTGAACCTGCGGGCTCAGGCAATCCACTCACCTCAGCCTCCCAAAGGCGCAGGATTACAGGCTGAGCCACTGATCCCGGCTTACATCATTCTTTTTAACAGCAACATATAGACTAGCCAGTTCCCTACTGACAGACATTTAAGGTATTTCAAATCTTTTCATGTTACAAAAAGAGTCTTAGAGATAGATTTTGTATTTACATTATTTCACACATATACAATTATAAGTAAAATAAACTCCGAGAAGTGGAATTTTTGGATCCCATGTGCATTTGCAATTCTCATAAATGTTTACAGACCTTAAAAGGGCCAGTACACTCCCAGTGTATTGTAGTGTCTCTTTCTCCATTATCTTGACAACATGGGTGGAATCAAACTTTTTCGTATTTGCCAAATTGATGGGTGAAAAATAATATCTAACATTTGTTTTAATCTAAATTTCTCTTAGAACTATATAATTATCTTTTATGATATGGTTAAGCATCTTTTTATATGTTCAAAACTATTTGCATTTTCTTTTCTAAGAACTATCTGTTCAATTCCTTTGACCATTAAAAAAATGTTGGATTGTTGGACTTCGTTGCTAATAAACATATAAGAGCTATATAATAGATTAATCAGCCTTTATGTGTGGCATAAAACATTTTTGTCATTTTTTTTTTACTTTACTTTTGCTAGTACATTTTCCATAAAAATGCTAAGTTTTTACATAGATATTTCAACCTTTTCTTTCTTGGTTTTTGAGCAGAATATTGCATTGTTTCTTCTATTTTATTGTTTTGTTATTTATTTTTACATATTTTGTTTCAATTTCAATTTACTTAAATGTAGAATGCGATGCAAGGATTAAATTTTCTTATTCCAACACCATTTATTGAATTACACCTCTTTTCCCCACTGACTTGGAAAGCCATATATATCATGTACATTTTTGTCTGTATTTGGGTTTATTTTTAAACTTTACATCCTGTTCTAATCATTTGTCTATTATGTGTCAGCACCACATGGTTTTAATTCTTTTCTGCTTGTAACATATTTTAATATTTGGAAGACTATTATCACCTCATTATTCTTCCTTTTCTGAACGTTCATGAATTTTTTTGCACATTTTTCTGTGTGATCTTTGTAATTAGCTTGTTTAGTTTTCCCCACTCCCCAAAAATCTTATCAATATTCTCAATATTTGTAATATAATCATTAAATTTGCATATTAGTCTAGGAAAAATGGACTCTTGTGGCTTTGAAACTTCCTATCCAAGAATGTTTTGACTTCCTATTTATTCAAGTTTTCTTTTGGGTACATCAGGGAGTTTTTAAAGTTTTTTTTTCCATATAGACCCTGAACACTTATTTGTTTTTTATGCCCAAGCAGTTTATATTTTTTGTTGCTGTTGCAAATGTGATGTTTTCTTACATTAAATCTTGTAACTAGTAGTTCTCTGTAAATATAAAGGCTTTTGTTTTCTCATATGAAGATTGTACCCAGATACTCCATTAGTTCTATTATTATTTGTTATAATTTCTCTTCTGGTTTTCTTGGGCTTTCATGTGTTTATTATTCAGCAAATAGTTACTGAATACCTACTATGTATCAGACAGTGTTTTAGGCACTGGGAATATGTGCCAGGAAGTATTCTGGGCACTACATATATAACAATGAACACAATAGAAGACTTCTCTCAAAGAGTTTATATTTTATGATGAGAGAAGGAAAATAAACAAATCAATTAATAAATACATACAATGTCACAAAGTATTAATGCCATGGAGATAAATAAAGTAGGGTAAGGGAACAGAAAGTAATAGAGGTTCTTTAAAAAATGAGAGACTTGAATGAAGCAGGAGAGTTAGCCTTGAGGATACCAGCGGAAGAGTCTGCCAGGCAGAAGAAGTAAATACAAAAGTCACTTGCACTTGGCATGTTTGAGAAACAGCAAGGAACTGAGAATGTCTGGGGAAGAGGGGTAAATAAAGGGACAGTACTTTCCATGTAATCCATACATAATAATTTATCTCCTCTTTTTTAGTTTTATACTTATAATTTCTTTTTCATGTCTAACTGCATTGACTAGTAACCTCAAAACAATGTAAAGGATTGGTTAATTTTTAAGATCCTTTCCTACCCTGAGATTCTAGGGGGCTGGAAACAGAGTAGAAAACCGTTTAGGAAATTTATGAATAGGGTCTTAATTTGGGGTTTCTGTTCTTCTTCTTCTTTATTACACATATTCAGATGTATAAACAGATATTAATTTCAACAGCATCCTGTTATTTATTTATTTTTCCTAAACTGGGTTTAAGACCTTTTGTTGGCTCAGTTATAATGAAGCATTAAGGCAGAAGCAGAGACTGTAGTTCTGGTTCTAAAGTTAGCATAATCTGTGGCCATAGGCAAGAAGTAACTCTTCATTGTGTCTCAATTCTCCCAAAAATGGTCAATGGGGAGATAGAGGACATATTACTTCCTTAAACATTTCACGTATTCTTTTCATCTTCAGTTAAAATA